TTCCTACCACCACTGCCCCACCCACCCTTCGACGCGGCTGCCTCGGTTTCCCGGACCAGCAGTGTGTGCACACGACCCCGTGGTCTGCAACTACCAGAGCGTTCCAAACGAGTCCGAAGCCTCGGCTCCTCTCCCCGCACCTCCCCCTCCTGGAGCCCTCGGTGGCCCGCTGACGTTTCCTGGACGTTGTGAACTCGCAGTAAGAATGGATCCACTGTCTGCGCACATTCTTAAGGGCAGGAAACCTGACCCACCCCAAAACCACGCGCTCCCAAGGAAGGGCACTTGCATTTTCCGGGAGGGCAGGCCTCTGCCAGGTTAGCGGGGCTGGCCTCGGGCGCCCCCTCCTCTCCCCCTCCTCCCCCATCCCCTCCACACCCACAGATTACCCCCCCACCCCTTACATCCCCTTCACCTACTCAAGAACAGATTGTTTATCAGAACGGGCAGCCAAGAAACCTACTCCTGTTTCTGGCCTCTGCCAGAGATTAATCACACTTGGGAAAGCAGAAAACTTGACTGTGTTGGGGCGGGGCGGAGGGGGGGGAGTTAAAAGGGAAGACCAATAATTTTGACATTTGACACAAGCTGATCAAGTTGGTGCTACCTTTCCCCTCCTTTCTTTTCGTAAGTCAGCGTGGAGGGCTGAGCTATATTTCACTGCCACTCCCTCTCCCCCCAGCCCCCCATTGCCCCCTCCTTCACTAAGTCTTCATGTTTGACGCTTTCATAGTACTGACTGCCTTTTAATTCTGATTAACATTCTCAGCTGGTCTGTGTGTGTGTGTTAGGGGCTGGAAAGACACATTCACAAACCTGCCTCCCTGACAAATCCCCCCTTTCATCCTTCTTTTTGAAATGACATCAAGATGGACTTGGGGGGGGGGTGGCTGTGGAGAGGAGGCATGGAAAAAAGAGAGGGAGGGGGAAGCAATTTATGTGCTTTTCTAAGGCAGCTAGTAAAATTCCTAAGGGAGAACAAATGCCAAAATTGACTGTCTTGGTGTATTTTAGACCCGATCGTCAGGGTGAATCATGTCAGGGCTTTGCACCGGACCTGCAGCCTGGCAGCCAGGGACGCGGCACACAGAAGATCCCTCCGGCTGGGAGGTGCCCTCCTAAAAGAGGCCAGAGATAGGTGTATCCTCTCGCCAGATTCCTCTCCATCAGGATTTTTTCCTCTAATTCATTGCAAGATGGATTTTTTAAAAAACTGGGGCTGATAAAGAAAAACCAAGGATAGAAAACGCCCCATAAAACATGGTCCCCAAAGGGAAGGTGCAAAACCCATTTGATCCAAGATATAGATATCTCCACCCTGGCTTTTTTTCCCCTTTGCTTTACAACTCTGCAGACATCAGGTTAGCAAAAGGTAATAAATAGTCCTTGCACAGCAGGGTCTGGACTAGTGAAAACAGTTTACTGAAATTAATGGGCCTCACTTGAACCAAAACCTCCACTTTGGAATTAATGCCAGACATAGTTTTCCTGAACTCTATCCAACCGCCTAAGCGGCAGACAATTTTCGTTTTATTTGTGCTGGAAAATAAAGCCCAAGCCCTTGATCTCAGTGTAGATTATAATTTTTTTAAAAAAAAATTCAGCACAGTGAACACTATGCCAATTTCCACTTTCTGCTAGCAGAAGCCCTTGTGCTCTGGGCTGTGTGTGTCAGACAGAAGTTACCGGGCAAACTTTCCATTGAAAACCATCTCTGAACTCCCTCCCCATCCGTGGCCTCAGAGTTTTCACCATGACACCCGAGAGATTCAAGGAAAGCTCCAGAAACAGGCTCGATTCGCACTAACAACCCTCTTCCCCAGGGCTCTTGGAAAGGCTGGATCTGAACAACGCTGTCTGCGTGACCTCCGTTCCCCACCCCAAATAAAGCCCCAAAGCACCAAAGAAACCACCCCCCACTCGCCCCCGGGACTCAGGGTGTTTACAGTTCTGAAGCTGCTTTTATTTTTATTAATGTATTTTTAAGGCCGAAAGGCGCGCGCGGCTGCGCGCGCGCGCACGCACACACACACACACCCCGGTTCACACCCGGTGGTTATGGCAGGTAGAGCGGAGACCAGGCTGTCAGTGTCTGATCCCGACCTTCCCCCCCACCCCCCATTATTAATAAAAACCCGGTCGTGGGCAGCCGGCGTTCTGGTTTTCATTGTACAGTCTGCACTGGTGACACAGGACATGTGGAAAATTTTGAGAGCACTGCGGTGAATGGCATGCAGGGGGAGCGTGAGCAGGGTGAGGAGGAGGGGCGGGGAGGGGAGCGAGTTACTTTTTAGCTTCCGCTAAGTACTTGGCAGCTCGCCAGGCCCAGAGGATTCTGGGAAGCGAAAGCCTCCCCAGTATAAACTGCCAGCTTTAAGCAGCCCTGACAGTTCTGCTCCTTCCAAACTTGGCAGCCGTTCAAAGTGCTCTTTCATTTGAAATGCTGGAAGCCTGCCATGTGCAATGCAGATTTGCTGTGCCTGTGCGCAGAAGGAACTGATAAATGCCGTGGCAGTTGCCATGGGGACAGGAGGCTATCAGAATGGCCTTGTGATCCGCAGCCTCTCAGCGCGGCAGGCTCTCGCTCTCCCTCCCGCCCCTCCTGCCTCTCGTCAGTGAGATGGTGAAATAAATGTTCTGGAAAAAGGTTAACCCTCCCTGCTCTGGTTCCGCAGCACAGAGGAGGTTAACCTCCTAGCACTTCGCGGGCCCTAGCGCCAGCCAGGGCCACAGGCCTGAGCATCGTCCTTGGGCGGGTCACCATACCCCACCCCCGCAACAATCACAGTCCCCCCCCCCACCCCAGCCCTGCTTCCTGCTCCCTGGGGGCTTCCACAAAGCTATGTTTTAATAGAGCTTTTCAGCAAGCCCAAGTGTAAGCCTTTGAGTCATCAAAACCCGGATGTAAACACAGCAGCCCTACATTCTGCACAGTTTGCATGAATTTTATCTTTTTAATAATATTTAGCTGGCAACTTAAAACTGCAAGGATGCCAGATATTTTAGCCAGCCACTTACGTCATGCAGCCTCCATCTTAGGGAGAGTGGTTGCCTGCCCTTTCTTGTTCTCTCTCTCCCTACCCTGAGCCTGCAGGAAATCTGGGTCTTTCTAAAGGCGTCTTCTTGCAGCAGAGGCAACCGAGTCCCTCAGAACCGTGGGCTTTCGAGTGAGCATGACATCACCCTGAGTAACAACCACAGAGGGGATGTTCCTGTGGGAGACAAGACACTGGGTGATCCGAGGTGAAACAGGTCTGTCATTTACCCAGAGTGAAGGTGCACCAGTCTGGATGGCCGGCCCCCCGTTTTGCACAAGCTGCCATTTGAAACACAGTCTGATTCAATGTACAGAAACAAAACAGCACATTCAGATTTGGTACGTGTTCAGGTCTATAATGCCAACTCTCCGGGTGGCCTGGTTAATGGGGAAGAAATGAAATACTCCATTCCAGCCAAGGCCTATGGAGGCCAAAGAGGTTTAGCGATTTATTTACATTGAGCAGCATTCCTTCTCAACCCAACTTGCTATTTCCTGGAGGTTTCCTGAACCTAAACCTTCGTTAACATCCCAGGAAGAGAACATATTTTTCCTGTGGCTTTCAATATTTTTTGCTAAATATATTTCGGCGCACTGTTTATCTAGGGTTTCAGCTTTCAGACCTTTATGTACTTTTGACACCTTGAGGCTGTTCCACTGAAAAATGGGGTATGTTTATTAAAGAGGACTTTCTGTGCTGGGCCCTAAGGTAGTGGGAATGTCTGTTTGGGTCTGTCTGTATAAGGAGGGCTTCAAGGGGAGGCCCAAGTCCAAGGCATGTTTGATTTGTGGAGCCCTTTTGACAATGCAGGCCCAACATAGCTCAGACGAACCCTTTAATACAGCAGAATGTTGAACCAAATGAGTATTTCTTCCTAAGTGCACGGCTGACATGGAGGCCCGGACAGGAGAGAGACTGAAAATGCCCCAGCTTCCTGGGACTTCGCTGTGATTGCTTTTAATGCGCCTCTCCCTGGGTGTCTGCTTATGATTGTCACGGCAATTCTGGCCAGGGCGACGCGCTCTGTCTCGCTGGAATTTCCTGACTTCAAGTAGCCCCTTCCAAATAAATAAATTAATCAATAAAAGCCATCTGCTTCACCTGGCCGGCAGGCACAGCACTGGAAGGGGTGGCGCTGAACGCGATTTTTTAGGAGCGGTTGGCCCTTGAGACATTTCGAGGTGAGTTTTGGCTTGGAATTAAACAGGAGTTGGAGGCAGAAATTAGGTGATTTAGAAAGCCTCTCTTTCTTCCCCCACCCTCTACCCCGGCCCCCATCTTCCCCAGACAGTCCAGGCAGCTGGGTTTTTGGCTCTTGCAGCTGCTAAGCTTTGGCAAGCTAAAAGCATATTTCGTGGTGGTGATTCCTTTCCCAGGTTGACCGACATGTTTCTGTACTGAGCACAAGGGATGTTTCCTGACTATGTGCATGAATCAGAGGCTGTATTTTTTATCCGGGGCTCCTGGTGACAGTTTTAAGCTGGAAGAACAAAGCAGATCACGATGAGCCCCTATCATCAGGGTCCAGAGATAAAGAATCTATCTGAAGATATAGATATATATCTATATATATCATATAGCTGGGATGGATGTTTTACATTTTAACCATGCCAAGAGCGGCCATTCCCCCAGAAGGCAATGCCCACGTTCACATCTCAGACACTACCCTTTCTTTCTCTCTCTCTTGATGTCATTGTGCTGTTTGTTTATTTGTTAGCTTCAGAAGTTCTTCCTGGCGCCGGCCCTGTGGCCGAGTGGTTAAGTTCGCACGCTCCACTTCATGGCCCAGGCTTTCGCCGGTTTTGATCCTGGGCGCAGACATGGCACCGCTCATCAGGCCACGCTGTGGCGGCGTCCCACATAGCACAACTAGAAGGACCTGCAACTAGAATACACAACTATGTACCGGGGGCAGGGTGGGGGGGGGGCGGGGTGGGGAGAAGAATTGAAATAAAAGATTGGCAACAGATGTTAGCTCAGGTGCCCAGCTTTAAAAAAAAAAAGTTCCTTTTTTCAGCCAAATGGGAAGATTTGCAAAAGCCATTTGGGGGCCTTTGAATGCCATCCCAGATGGAGACAAGCCCCAAGATTCCAAACAGCCTAGACCCTGCCCACATTCTGCTCTGTTACACCAGGACGACAACAGAGGGGCGTCGCTGGTGCGGCCCCTCTGCACCAGGACCTGAGGAGCCGGCTCCCCAGAAGCCCGTGGATTAGGAAGGTCTCCTGGGGCTGCTTCAGGAGCTGGCGGGTAACAACTCCCTTTTGTTTTGCTGTCTAGCATGTGACCAGAATGCTGCCAGCTAATTTTAACCCCACTGAAGAACTGGAAAAAAACAAAACGCAACAAAAAAAAAACCTACCTTGCATCTGGAGAGAGAACCGCTGTGGGCTGGATAAAAGCTTTTTCAGCCTGCATTCCTTCCTGTTTCAGTTTCCAAACTTGCATTATCGGTAACCTGAAAAATGATGTTTCACCAAATTCCTGGATATTGCACAAGAGGACAATGAGTCTATTTCGGGTGCTATGAGTGTGTCTGGCACAGACCCTGGGAGCCATTGTTTTCAGGAGGGAGAATGCTTTGGGGTTTCCTGGTGCTTTCCTTCTAGGGTCTCAAAGCCCCCAAAGGTACCAGGGGCTTGCGGGGGGGGCGGGGGGGCTCTCTATGACAACCATGTAGGCTGCACTCTGAAAGGACCTGGATGAGAAGCGGGTGGTGAGGCCCATGTCGGGGAGGGGGTGGTGAAGTGGCCCTGAAGACGTTAAAAGGTGGATGGTGGGGAGTGTTTGAAGTGGGACAGCAGGAGCAGGAAGAAGTGGGGTGAGGGACACTTTCACAATAACTGGGTGGCCCCCTGGGACACAGGCCACCAGTTCTCCTACTGAATTTCCAAATCTGCTTTCAGCATCAGGAATTAATGGAGGACGTCGTGGAGTCCCTCACCTTGGATACTGGCTTCTCAAAGCATTCCTGTGGCGGTTAATTGTTGCTTCTGGCTGGGTGGCTGGTGATGCTGGTGACAAGGTGCAGAATCTCAAGAGCCAGGAAATTTAGAGGCTTGGATCAGATAGTGTGTAGCTAGGCAGCTGCTGCCAGCTATGCTAAAACCAGGTAGTGAGGTGGGCTGTCATTAACCTGAGGGTCTACAAGGCAGTCCCAGCAGATCAGCTCACGGCGAAGAGACTGAGGGGAAAGGCCCCAGTTCATGCTGCAGCCCTCCCGGCAACCAGGAGGGCTTGGTGGCAGTTGTTCTGACAGCTGCTGAGGGCTTCAGCTGCCGAAAAAGCCATTTGCTCAGGCCTACCCTGTCTGGCCAACTTCTACGTATTTAAAGGCTCCTCCTTGGTCTCTCAGGCCCCCCCTCTCCACCTGAGTCCTCAGGCAAAGACGCGTCTTTGGAAACACCGGCAACCGCCTGGGAGACCTTCGCCCCGTCGTCTGCCTGTCCACTGCTGCTGTAACCTGCCCACAGTCATCAAGATCAGTTAGCAAATTCCCAAATTAAGGTTCTGTTGACTTTGTTGTTCCAAAGGCTTGTTTTGAGCAGGATGTTGTGCTTTAATTAAAAAGATGAGAGCTCATGAGTAAGTAAAACTATTTCTGAATCTTCGCAAGGATGTCTGAATTGCGTTTCTTGCATCTCACCGCAGGGGTTCAGCTCTCTAAGACCACTGAAAACTTTCTCTGTCCTCAACAGCTGGCTCTTCCCCATTGCAGAATTGAAAGGGGAGCCCTGAGTCAAGAATCTGCTCCTTGTGCTTCTCCGCTTGCAGATTTTTGCCAGCCTTCAGGTATCATTAGAATACATTCTGCATTCACCTTTCCAGCCAGAGAATTCCCATTCCCGAAGGTTTCCTCTGAGCTCCACAGCTGGAATGCAGCTGTTGCGGGGTGGGGCAAGCTCTTTCTGGGTCAGCAGGGTGAGCGAGGGCAGGGGATCTTGGAAGGTTGGGAAAGTCCTTCATTCTAAAGCCAGAGCTCAGGAATGAGTGGGGCCTCTGGTGTGAAAACTTTCCAGATGGGGGAAGGAAGGGTAAGCTTTGCCCTCTGGGTAGATTCCAAAAAATTGCTTTGGGGAGGCCAACTATTTTGAAACTGCCTTTAAAGAAAACAGCACAAATGTTTAAACTGACCTGGAAAACTCTTCCTTTTTCCATTCCCTACAATCCAAGTCTGTTCCCTTGAACGTTAATCAGCAGCAGCGTTGGCCCAGGCTTCTCTCCTCCCCCATCCCTCTCTCTCTTTTTTTTATTATTATTATTATCTTTGGTTTGGAAAACTTTTGGATGCCTTCCCAGGCTGGAGCTATAGAATGTTTCCAGGAAAATGCATAAGGAGTGTCTGTGTTGTGAGTTTCTCTGGAGGGGGCTGAACATGTTTTTCAGAGACACTGAGCTGGGGCAGCCAGGTCTTGTGCAAGAGTCCAGCCAAGCAAAAGGGCAGACGGTGCCGGAAAGATGTGTGCACATCTAAAAGTGCTGAAGCGAAGGTGTGGTTTAGCTGGCCTGCCTGTTGTAGACCCCTCTCAGCCTTCTATTATCGCAGCTGCCTCCGTGTCAGTCTGCGCGCCCAAGCACCCCGTCTCCAGGAGATGTGCTGAGAACAGCTGGGGGCCGGGGTTTGAACTTCATTCTCAAATTAGCCGCCCTGGTAATTGCTGCCTAAAGAATATGTCAAGATTTAGATGAAGAACTGCAGGGAGTCAATCCTCACCCAGCTGGCAGGGGCCCCGCCCAGGCATGGAATGTCCTGGGCAAAAGGTGTCCTGAGGCCGATGCTGCCAACCCCCGGCCCATGCCAGCCCAGCTCCCCTTGGACCCAGGAACACACACACAGCTGCGTGCACGCACGGATCAGAAACATCTGTCCACAAAACGAGAAAGCGCATGCACGAGGCCTGAGGGTGATGGGGCCTCACAGGACCCCGCACTGAAAGACGTGGTTCTCGACAGCAAAGGCAGCTGGGGGTTCCTGAAAATAGGCGCCATTCAGGCTGGTTCCTGGGAAAAAGAGGCAGAAATCGCTCCAGAGGAAGGCCGCCGTGAGTGAGGGCAGAGCTGCCCCAGCCACTCTCTGTTGCGACCGTGCTTTCTCCCGGGCCAATCCCCTGTGGTCTAGAGGACCCAGAGACCTCAGGAGAGGAAAGGACCAGCAGGGGCCTGCAGTGCTGGAAAGCAGAGGACGCAGCTTCCAGCTCTCCTCGCCCCGCGAGTTTGAAGACTGTTTACCAGTAACACTGTCATGGTTCCTGTAGTAAAATCTTTCCTTCCACCCAGGGGACACACTGACTCCAGAAGCCATCTCCTCTGGGGAGGGGCATCTTCCCAGGTTGGGAAGGCGCTGAACAGTCCAGACTTTGGAATATGAATAGCAACAATGGTAGGCACAGCTAATATTCATCAGGCATCTCTTCTGTGTCTGGTGTTGTGCTGTGTTTTAATGCATATTCTCTTCTAATCCACACCTAATAAAGGGGGTTCAGTTATTATCCCATTGTATAGATGAAGAAACAGAAGCTCAGAGAGGTTAAGCAACTTGTCCCAGGACACACAGTTAATAAGTGGTGGCCCCAGTTAGGACTCAGGGTTGCCTTACTCTAGAATCCTTAGCAGACAGACCTGGGTTTGAATCCTGAGCCTGCTATGTGTGATTGTGTGACCTGTGCCAACCTCCAGCCTTCCTCATCTGTTTCATAAACTAAACACATCAAATATTGGCACTTTCACATAAGTTAGCCTAAACTTTCCTTACAAGATTCTAAGCATTAAATAAGATAATGCATATAGAGGCCTTAGCAGTGTCTAGAATGTAGCAAGCACTCCAATGATGTTGGCTTTCAATAATCTCAGAGTCTGCCTGTTTGCTCAGTATAGATACATAAATCAAGTTTTCCATAGTCTTTGTGGGTCTTCTCGAACCCTTGCAAAGTCCCGCACGTCCATGGACAGACACGTCGGCCCCAAGCGCTGTTGGCCCAGCTGCTGGTGGCGGGGGGAGAAACTTCTCATTCCTTCTCGCTGACATCTCTTAACTTGTGCCGGCATCCACATCTGGAGCAGGCCTGTGTGTCTCAGCACACTCCTCCCTTCTATGCTGCCCACTCACATTCGCTTGGGGTCACTGGGGGTCCCAAGGCTTCAGAAGCACTCAAATCTGATCACTTTACTTTCCTGCTTAAAAATCTTCCAGGCGCCTGGCAAAATCAAGACAAACTCAGCTTGGAAAGCGAGGCCCCTGGGAAAGCGCCTCCAAGCCCCCTTTCTGCCTCTTCCTGCCCCTCAATTCCTTTCTGACCACATTAAATCCTTCTTTGTTCCTTGAACTTTCGAGCCCGCGCCTTTGCAGGGCTCTTTTCTCTGCCTGGAAAAAAATGTTTCCCCCTTTTCTTCCTTGAGCGAACTTCTATGTATCTTTCAAAACCCAACTCTGGTTTTTTCTTTCCTGGGAAACTGGTCACCAGCATTTCCCGGATCTGTGCTTCCACGGCCGTCTTTCATGGCAGTCTCTGTGTATCACAGAGTCGCGGTTATCTGTTCAGACGACTCCCCCGCAGGGGACTCGCTGAGGGTCAAGGCTAGGGCTTACCTTTCTATCCTGAACGTCACCAAAATACTGCTGGGGGCATCCTATAGTAGAAAGAGCCAGGGCTTTAGAGTCAAACAATTCCGGGTTCACATCCTAACTTGGCCTCTTGCTGTGCGTGTAAGTCATCACTTCATCTTTCTTAGCCTCAGTTTTCCCATCTGTAAAATGAAGATGACAATAATTACCCGTGTGGCAGACATTGCTGGTTGCCCTTCAATAGTCTCTCCTCCCTTCTTTGTTCGAGCCCTAAATTTTTTTCCAGAAGTCCACCCCCTCCTCCACGTGGCTGGAGTGTAGGAGGGGGAACGCCTGGTTAGTCTTAAACTCATCTTGGTATCACATTCCTCTTGCTGGTGATTCATTTTGGAGATGGATCTGTGATCCAGTTCTGGTTAATGAGGTGTAGGCAAGGATCGTTTTGGGGGGGGGTGTGGAGCGTTGTTCTAGCAAATATTCGCGTACTCTTAAAACATGAGAGAAACAGTTGTCCTTCTGCAGCTGGATGCTACGTCTAGAACAATGGCTGGGGCCACAGCAGCCGTCTTGCTATGATGAAGGCAGCTACTCAGAAAACCAAACTAACACACTAAAGATAATAGAATGGAACCTTGGCAAGAACTTGGGTCCTGGTGGCACAATTCAGCAGCTGGATTCTCCTGCCCTGGAGCCACCTACCTCTGGACTATTTCCTGAGAGCATCAATTCCTTCATTGTTCCATGAGGGACCACTGGCTTAATCCAATAGAGGTGAGGTTGCTCTTACTTGCAGCCAAAAGCATCCTAACAGATCAACTTCACAAGGTTATTGTGATGATGAAATAAAGTTTGCAAAGTCCCTAACCCAGTGCCTGGCACACAGTAGGTTCCTAACAAAGATTAAAGACTTTCCTGCTGGAGCCGCTCTGAGGTGAATGCATGAGTGACTGTGATGAATGGCCCAAATCTCGGGGCAGATGGTAATGTAGTTTACAGCAGTCCAGAGGTGGGGGGCGCTGGAATGACAATGAAGATGACGAACGACAATGAAATTCAAACATTATGTTAGTGAGCGTCTGATGGAACTTCTCTGGGCTGGAACAATGGCTCTCCTTTGTTCTTCTCAGACCTCTTCCTCCCCCCCCCCCCCCCCCCCCCCCCCCCCCGTCAGAGTGAAACCCCCCCACGACACAGGCTTTTCTCATTGTGGGTGGCCACACTTGTGCAGCCGGGGTGGTCCCCGATTACCCTGGGGCATGGAAGCCCTGCTACAGGATGAAGGCTAGAGTGTAATTTGTAGCTCAGGAGGAGCCCAGATTTGGAAGCAGAACTAACATGTCTACACCACGTAAAATGGGGCCTGATACTGACAGAGGCTCACAGCGTCCATCCCCTCCAGGAGCGCCCAGAGAAGCCCCGCCGTCAGCCTCTGCAGCTCCGGAAGGCCTGCCTTTGGAGGCCCTGGGGCTGGGCGGCCTGCCTGGCATTTGGCCTGCTGACCAGGCCACAGAGTTTTCCTCCATGCCAGCTCCATGGCCCTTCCGAGCCTCGTTCCAGGAGAGCTCAGCCACACCAGCCTCTGCCAGACTCATGTCCGCCCAGCCGCGTGGGCGGCCCTGGCCGCAGGGGATGGGGCAGGGTTTGTGCAAGGACACTGCGGCCCCCACAGCAGGATTGTGGAAAGGGCGGTGGCTCACTTCAGGGGCAAGCCAGGAGGGAACCCGGAGGAGGTGGGGAGCAGAGGCCACAGTCACAAGGCAGCGGCAGCTTCAGCCCCCTTTCAAAGGCCCTCTTCAGCGTCAAAGCCGGGTCCAGGCCCCCTTTCCCTTCTGGCCATTTACTCCCTACTCGCCCCTCCCCTGCCCAGCCAGGTTCAGTGTCGCTCCCAGCACTGACATTCAAGTCTGTCCACCAAATAGTTATTGAATACTCTATGCAAGACGCCATACTCCTGCTCGCAACTGGGGGTGAGGAAGATACGAAGAAAAGCAAGATAGAGTAGAAAGAACCTCAACAAAATGGTTTTCAAACTTCTCCCAGTCTCAGAAGCCCC